GGAGGATAATGATAAGATTTTCTTAGAACAATTTTGTTAACATGTTTTTTAGGAAATTTTCCATTTTATCCCAGTTTTCAAATTTATTGACAGAAATATTTCTTTTATACCTAAAAGAAAACCCAAAACTTGCGATATGCATTTACAGCCTCTTAATCTTAATATTATATATTTTTTTATTTGTATATCATTTCATTCCTTTTTAAATCTGTCAGAAATTTTTAAGAATTTTTCTTATGTAGGTGAAACTCGTATAACATAAAACCAACCATTTAAAAGTGTACAATTCAGAGGTACCGTGCAACCACCACGTCTTGTCTAGTTCCAAAACATTTCCATCACGTCAAAAGAAGACCCCGTACCCATTAAGCAGTGATTCCATATTCCCCCTCTTCCCAGCCTCTGACAACCAACAATCTACTGTCTGTCTCTCTGGATTTACCTATTCCGGATATTTCATATAAGCGGAATCATACATTATGTGCCTTTGTGTCTGACTTCTCTTACTGAGCATAATGTTTTAGAGGTCCCACTCATGTTATATGATGCTTCAGTATTTCATTCCTTATGGCTAAATAATATTCCATTGTATAGCTGTAGCACATTTTGTTCATCCATTCATCAGTTGGTGGATACTTGGGTTGTTTCTACCTTTTGGCTGTTGTGAATAGTGCTGCTATGATACTCATGTACATGTTTTTATGTGGATGTATATTTTTATTTCCCTTGGATATATTCCTAGGAGTGTAATTGCTGGGTCATATGGTAATTCTATGAGGAAATGCCAACATGTTTTCTACAGTGGCTGCACCATTTTGCATTCCCACCAGCAATGTACGTGGATTCCAATTTCTCCACATCCTTGCCAACACTTGTTATTTTCTGTTTTTGAAAACATTTATAGCCATCCTAATGGGTGTGAAGTGGTATCTCATTGTGGTTTTGATTTGCATTTCCCGAATGACTAATGATGTTGAGCATCTTTTCATGTACTTGTTTGTCATTTGTATATCTTCTTTGGAGAAAAGCCTTTTCAAGTCCTTTGCCTGTTTTATGGTTGTGTTGTTTGTCTTTTTATTAAGTTGGAAGAGTTCTTTATATATTCTGGATACTAGACCCTTATCAGATATATGATTTGTAAATATTTTCTTCCATTCTATAGGTTTTCTTTTCATTTCTTTGATAATGTCTTTTGGTGCACAAAAGTTCTTAATTTTTATGAAGTCTAATTTTTCCATCTTTTGTTGTTGTTGTTGCTTATACTTCTGATATCATATCTAAAAAACCATTGCCAAATTTAAGATGATGAAGATTTACCCCTATGTTTTCTTCTAAATATTTTATAGTTTTAGTTTTTGTACACTGCAACTCTGCCGAATTTGTTTATTAGCTCTAGTATCATTTCTTCTTTAAATGTCTAGTAGAATTCACCAGTGAAACCATCTGGCCCTAGTGCTTTCTCGTTTGGAAGGTTATTCATTATTGATTTAATTTATTTAATAGATATAGGCCTATTCAGATTACCTATTTCTCCTTGTGCGAGTTTTGGTAGATTATGTCTTTCAAGGAATTTGTCCATTTCATCTAAGTTATCAAAGTTGTAGGCATAGAGTTGTTTATAGTGTTCTTTTATTATCCTTTTAATGTCCACGTGATCAGTAGCTATGGTCCCTCTTTCATTTTTTTTTCTTGTGGAAGATTGGCCCTGAGCTAACATCTGTGCCAATCTTCCTCTATTTTTCATGTGGGTCACTGCCACAATGTGGCTGCTGACGTGTGGTGTACGTCTGCACCTGGTAACCGAACCCGGGCGGCTGACATGGAGCACACTGAACTTAACTATTAGGCCACAGGGCCGGCCCCACCTCTTTCATTTTTGATGTTAGTGATTTGTTTCTGTTTTTTTTTTTTTCTTGATTAGGTTGGCTAGAGGTTTATCAATTTTATTGATCTTAGAACTAGCTTTTGATTTCAATAATTTACTTTATTGTTTTCATTTCATTGATTTTTGCTCTAATTTTTATTATTTCTTTTCTTCTGCTTACTTTTTGTTTAATTTACTCTTCTTTGTCTCATTTCCTAAAGTAGAAGCTCAGAGTATAGATTTTAGATCTTTCCACTTTTTATATATATGTATTCAATGCTATAAATTTTCCTCTAAGCACTGCTTTTGCTGTATCCCACAAATTTTGATGTTATATTTTCATTCTGATTTAATTCAAAATATTTTAAAATTTCTCTTGAAACTTCTTCTTTGACCCAGGTTTTATTTAGAAGTGTATTGTTTAATCTCCAAATGTTTTGGAATTTTTAACTGTTTTTCTGTTATTGATTTCTATTTCAATTCCAATGGTTCTGAGAGCATATTTTATATGATTTCTATTCTTTTAAATTTGTTAAGGTTTGTTTTATGGCCCAGGATATGGTCTATCTTGGTGAATGTTCCATGTGAGCTTGAGAAGAATGTGTATTCTGCCGTTGTGGGATGTAGTAGTCTATGTGTGTCAATCATATCCAGTTGATTTATGGTGCTGTTCTGTTCAACTATATCTTAATAATTTTCTGCCTGCTAGATACATCAATTATTGAAAGAGAGGCATTGAAATCTCTACCTGTAATAGTAGATTTGTCTATTCTTGCAGTTCTATCAGTTTTTGCCTCACGTATTTTGATGCCCAGTTGTTAGGTGCATATGTGTTTAGGATTGTTATGTCTTCTAGGAGATTGACCCCTTTATCATTATAGAATGCCCACCTTAATCCCTCATGTATTCTTTGCTCTGAAATATACTCTGTCCGTATTTAATATAGCGACTCCAGTTTTCTTTAGATTAGTGTTAGCATGGTATATTTTTCTCCATCCATTTACTTTTAATCTATCTATGCCTTTATATTTAAAGTGGGTTTCTTGTAGACAATATATATTGGGTCTTATTTTTAATCCACACTGGTGGTTTCTGCTAAACCCAGGAGCAAGTTGGCAAGGGCTAGTAAAAACAGCTTAAAGTTTTCCTACCATTTTTAAGTTGGCTTTTTCTTGCTTCAGTGTTCACTTGATTGCTATCCTTTGATTATTTTCCAGAGTTCTCACAAAGTTGATTAAGACAGTTTTGCTTGCTTTTTTTGATGTTTTACAAAGGGATAAACTGTCGGAGATATCTACTTTGTTATTTTCATTGACATCTGTCAGATATTTTTATATTTCATTTGCCTTTTCAATGAACCAAGTTTTTAAAAAATCAATTCTTATGTTTTTTTCTAATTTGTTAATTTCTGATTTTGTATGTAATCAGTTAATCTTCTTTAATTTTTGTTTAATTTTATTTTTCCTATAATTTAGACTTGAATGTTTAATTAATTAATTTTTCCTTTATTTAAAAACAAAGTTGTCTAGCACTATGAATTTTATCTGAGCATAAAATTAGCTGTATATCTTAGGTTTTTAAATGTAGTGGTCTCATTATTATTTTTTTATAAACAATCTGCAATTGTAGTTTTTATTCTCTATTTGATCCAAGCATTACTCTTTAAAGTATTTTCTTTTTTTTTTTTAAAGATTTTATTTATTTATTTTTTCCCCCCAAAGCCCCAGTAGATAGTTGTATGTCATAGCTGCACATCCTTCTAGTTGCTGTATGTGGGACTCGGCCTCAGGATGGACGGAGAAGTGGTGCCTCGGTGCACGCCCGGGATCCGAACCCGGGTCACCACCATCGGAGCGCGTGCACTTAACCACCAAGCCACGGGGCCGGCCTAAAGTATTTTCTTAAACTTTTTAAGAGATTTGTTTATTTTCTGGGCTTTTGTTGTTATTTATACTTTTATTGCATTGTGGTCCAACTGGGTTTATCTACTTAATATTTCAATGGTACAAATGTAAATGTTATGAGTGCCTTACCTTTACTGTATATTGTACTATTTATTAATATAAAATACCATTTTTTAATCTGAATGATTGTTGTTTTGATTTTGAATTTGTCTTAGATTAATTTTGCTAGTCTTCTTTTCTTTTTGTTTGTCTTGGCCTGATATATCTCATCTCTTTATTTTCAAAAGTTATGTCTTTTTAGTTTAGGGATGACTCTAGCAAATATAAATTAGTTGAATAGTTTTAATTTAATCTGATAATGTTTGTCTTTTAATTGAAAAATTTATCTCATCCACTTTTTTTGTGTTAACTGATATTTAATCATATTCCTACCATTATTTTTTTTTGTGTGTGTGTATCTTAATAAATGTGCTCTTATTTAGTTTGTTTTCTTTATTGTATTTTGCTTTATCACATTTTTAGTCTCCTTTTCTGAGACTTTATAATTTATTCATATTATTTTTAGTCTATTGTATTGTTTAAAGTTGTGCTGTTATTTTGGTGCCAACTGCACAAATGAAACAGAATCTGTGGGACCCTCCTCCTATCCCCAAATGACACAGTTATCTAAGTGCATGTTCCCCTTCATCTTCTGTGTTTTGTTCAGACAATCTGTAATGTTAGTTACAGATATTCTAATTTTTACATTATGAATATTCTCTTTCAAGAACTTATTCTTAACATTTACATTAAGCTTCACAAGCATATTTACAGTAGCAATTATTTAGAATAAACAGTAAGTTTTACTGGATTCATTTCTCACATTTTTCTTTTTCTTGATTACTACCTCTGGATGTGTTCCAGTTAGTTTTCTTGTTTTTGAAATGTGAAGTCAGCATGACATTCTATATCCTTGGGAACGTAGACCTGTACCTTTGATAAATCTCTACAGTGTTTGAACAATGCTTAAACGTGAATGCCTTTAGCCTGGCCATGCTCCATAGTTGACCACAATCTCCACCACACCCTCTTGCCTGCTTGATCTGCCTGCCTGCATAGCAGTTTGTGTTTATGAATTGTCTTCTAGACTTTCCTAGACACATACAACTCAAATATCTGAGTGTTTTAAATGTGATCTCGTGCTCTTACACTGAGTGACATTCTGCCTTACACTCTTTCTTTCCTGGACTTAGGCTTTGGAAGATCGGGTATGGGAACTCTTGCAGGAAGCAGACAAGACAGCTGAAGAGAACAAGGATCAAAGTCAGGTGTACGATGCGATGGCCGACACCCTGGGTGAAGCATGGGCAGCCCTGGTCTCCATGCTTGAAAGAAGAAGGGAGCTCCTCAGGTTGACTTCTGAATTTTTTGAAAATGCCTTGGAGGTTTGTGTTTAAAAAAAGTTCTCCCTTCTCCACATCAGAGAAAATGAATAGCACTCCTGAAAATGTTTTATTTCCACAAACAGCCATTGCAATCAGTTAAAAAAATAGCAGAATAAACAAGATAAATTCAATACATTTAATTTTTTTTTTTGTGAGGAAGGTTAGCCCTGAGCTAACATCCTCCTCTTTTTTTTTTTTTTTTTTTTTTTTTTTAAAGATTTTATTTATTCATTTTTTCCCCCCAAAGCCCCAGTAGATAGTTGCATGTCGTAGGTTCACATCCTTCTAGTTGCTGTACGTGGGACTCGGCCTCGGGTTGGACGGAGAAGCGGTGCCCCGGGGCGCGCCCGGGATCCGAACCCGGGCCGCCAGCATCAGAGCACGCGCACCCAACCGCTAAGCCACGGAGCCGGCCCACATCCTCCTCTTTTTGCTGGGGAAGACTGGCCTTGGGCTAACATCTGTGCCCATCTTCCCCTACTTTATATGGGACGCCGCCACAGCATGGCTTGACAAGCGGTGCTTCCATGCGCACCTGGGATCCGAACCTGGGACTCGAACCTGAGAACCCTGGGCTGCGGAAGCGGAGTGCGTGCACTTAACGGCTTCACCACCAGGCCAGCCACACAATATATTTAATTTTCGATTGTCAAAAAATAAAATTGTTAATATTTTAAATGTAGGCCTTTAAATAAAAACTAAATACAGTTAATTGAAATTAAGTAAAATATTAAGTAAAAATGGGAAGTCTTACGCATAAATCATTGTGATTTATTTCCCTCTTTAGAAGATACTAATACAATTACTAGATTAAACAATTATCTCTGATTATGGGATTATTATGAAACATTAGTCTAAAGTGTTCTTGTTGACTAAAAGTTGGAGGATAGAATATCTTCTGCTGCTCATGAAAAGGCAATTGCAGAATAGTCCATAGAATGTTTGGCTTGTCAGCACAGCATTTTATAGAGCACTTTCCTAAGACGTATAGTTGAGATTCCACAGTTTGAACTCATTAAAATATAAGGGAAGGAAAAAGTTCTGGGCCTATGATTTTTCTTGAATTCTATGATTTTTTTTGAGGTTCCCAATTTCAAAATGTGAGACTCAAAGAACATTATCAAAAGAAGTGTTATATTTGGTGTAAGACAGTTATTGGAAATTTCGCTTTTAACTTCTCTGTCAAGTGGCAGTACATTCATTTTGATGTGAGAGCACTGCTTCATTATGATAAAGCACTAGCTTTGAAAAACATGACATTTCCAAACTGAAAATTCAGGACTTAAATCCAAAATAATGAAGGAAAACAGATTAGTAATAGAACATGAAAATTGAGGCAGACAATCTCATGCATCGTGAACTCGTTTAAAAGTGAAAAGAGGGAGCAAAAACCTTATTGTAACTTTCAAGGTTTGTTTTCTACAATTTGGACGCTAAAGTCCAACTCACTATTCATTTTACAGATCATCTTGGGAAAGAGTTCCATGCACAATTTTCTTTCTGGAAAAGAAATAAACTAGGTGAAATACATCTACAGGGTCAAATTATAGATACATCTGATTCATTTCATCCTAATACGTGGGGTATAGATGTCAACTGCTCTTGAAATTCAGCTTGTTTGAGATCAAAAAATTATCTTTTTTCGAACATTAGGCCCAATATTTGTTTCTCAGTGGGTAGTAGTGTTAATGCTAGCTGATTTTCTCTATGATGAGAAATTACTTCCAGATATTCATGAAATAAAAGGAATTACCAAGTCAACTCATAACTCAACCCAGCACTCTGATTCTTAGTGAAAAGACAAATTGTTCCCTGTATTATCCTGCTTCCAATTTCGAGGACCACTTCATACTTAGCTGAAGGCAAACTCCTACATAATCTTCCTTGCCCCTTGTGTATGCCAAAGCAATTTACGTTAGTGATTTAAAAAAAAAAAGATGAGGGTGAAATTAAGAATAGGGTCTTTGGAAAGTCTCCTCCTGGTGCCACTTCTGTCCCATACAAGCTACAGAAAGAAGAAAAGTAGACAAAAGAAAATATCCATAAGATAAATGTTAACAAAACTTTAGGGAATCTTTTTCTGAGTAAAGCATTATTTGTTTGTTGGTTTTTTTTTTAAAATTTCAAATAACATGTTAAAATATACATATAAGTTATACAGAGACTTTAAAACTTTTTGTAATGTTCTACAGGGAAGAATCAAATCACCTAGCAGGGTTTTTTTTTTTTTTTCCTCTCTTTGCAGTTTCTCTTCAAGGAATGTCCTTAAAATTATGTATTAGAAATGGAATGAGTTAGAGTTGTAAATGATGTGTGGGTAGGGTCCCCTTATTGAACTATGTGCATGTGGGGGTTCTTGAGAAATACAAACCGACTTCTAATTGCATGGTTGATAGTTATTACAAGATGGTTTCAGGCTCACAGACTTAGCCATTAGGTAGGTTATTCTCTTCTCAAAAACTGTGCTATAGTTCAGGAAGACTGTCCGTAAGTGACAATGGTTGGTGTCCATCAGGTTGTTCTATCAGGATGGTGGAGGCCTTCTCTGCATTTCCAAAGGGGACATCAGTCTCTCTCTCTCTCATCATTCCATATAACTGGATTTTATGTGGCTGTTGTCATAATAAAAATACAGTAGGATGTGTTAATCAAACAGATACGTAAGAATTAAAAATTACTAAATTCAAAGATGATAGGAGAAAACTTGAAAAAGAAGACAAAAACTGTGATAGGCTTTTGTGTCTTTCTCACTGATATTTTGCCTTTATGAGTTTATTCTATACCTGATCCAAAACTGAATATGTTGATAAAATGCTCTTGTAAACCGTAATAATTACCTTTGAACCTTAGTGCTAAAACAAACTATTTGTTTACCACTATGGATATACTGTACTAGCATAACCAAATATGTTTTGCCCTCTTCTAAAATTTGTTTCTAAGATTATTCCCCTGAGAATTTTAACATCACTTTAAGCATCTCCCTTTCATACTTCCTCCATGGAGAAACACAAAAAGAGAGACCAGTCATATTCCTCACCGTTTAGGGTGTCAAGTTCCTGTTCCTTTTATTCTTGAAACAGAGGAGAAATTTGCCATTTTTTATTCCTGCTGAATCTAAGGTCATTTTTATTTATATAAATGCATAAAATCATTGATAAAAATGCAAACAATATTACAAATTATAAATCTAAAAGCTAAAAGTTCACCTCCCCTCACCTATCCCTAATCCCATTCCTTCTCATAATTATAACCCTTTGGTGTGTATCTTTTCCGAACACTATCTGTACAAATAGATATATTTTTGCTTTGTATAAGAAGTGGGATTGGACATTGCTTCTTGGCTTCCTGGCTAAGATCAAGTGTAGAAATGGGATTAGACTATGTATTATTCTGAAATTTGCATTTTTCAGTTCTAGGTCTAATCATAGAGGAAAAATAAATTGTATTTCATCTTTCTCTCCAAATGGTTCTTAAGTTAAATTTACTTATAATTATGTGGGTTACTGGTTGGCCAAACTTTTATTGGTTTCTCTTAGAAAAATTTCTAGTTATTCTTTGACAAACTGCCTTAGAATATTGAAAGTGGCTGTATTAATTACATAGGAGACAATAATTTTAGTTGAAAATTTTAACAGACATTTGAACAGTAAATGAGTTGGTTTATTTTAGCATACATGACATATTTCCAGGCATGAAAGGAATACAAAGGAACAAGAAGAAAATTCTTACCTTGGCACTTTGTAAATTGACTGCGTGTAAACGCACAACCTCACACAAGCACCCTAAGCCAGCACATGCTCACACAAAGACACACATCACCACACAAACACACAAACACACCTACAGTCAGCTGGGCCATTAATTTATGAAAAGCATCTACAAATAACTAAATGTGGCACATTGACTTTTATTTTTTAAATGTCTTTCCACTGTATTTCTGTTGTAGTTTGCCATTAAGATAGACCAAGCTGAGGATTTCCTTCAGAACACTCAGGAGTTTGACAGTGCTGAGTCCTTGAAATCACTGCTTCAGCTTCATGAACATCACACCAAAGGCAAGAAATACGTTTACCCAAGCTTTGAAAGGTTTTAAAGGATGTCAATATGAGAATGCTCATGTATGACGGTGTATTTTTAAAGCCTTTTTTTTTTAAAGATTTTATTTATTTATTTATTTATTTATTTATTTATTTATTTTTCCCCCCAAAGCCCCAGTAGATAGTTGTATGTCATAGCTGCACATCCTTCTAGTTGCTGTATGTGGGACGCGGCCTCAGCGTGGCCGGAGAAGCGGTGCGTCGGTGCGCGCCCGGGATCCCAACCCAGGTTGCCATTAGCAGAGCGCACGCACTTAACCGCTGAGCCACGGGGCCGGCCCTGACGGTGTATTTTTAATTTATGTCTATGTATACCTCAACTTGTTCCCAGAAAGCTTAGATAAAGCTTTATTTTTGGTCATCTTCTGCAAGAAAGAGGTAGCTGCCAATGATTCTAAGGGGATGGCAGAGGAAGAGCCGCTAGGAGGTTCAGTTGTTCAGTCCGCTGGATTCTAGCTCCTGAGGACAGGGGCCATTTCCGCCGTGCTCGTCCTCGTGTCCTCGGCCTCTAGCAATGCCGGCACATGATGGATCCTCAAGAAGTAGTTCTTGGTTGAATAAACGGTTGAATCCAGTGAATGTTCTTTCTAAGGGTTAATAAATGAAGGTCAGCCTTTAAATAACAGCTCTGGATAAGGAAAATGCCTCTTTCACTACTAAAGTAAAAAAAAAAAAAAGAGTAGTGAACTTTTTCCAGATAAAAATCTAATAAAACACGATACAAAATGATTTTCAACTCCTTTTGAACAACTATAAAGATAGTCTAGTTGTTAACCAACAATTTACACACTAGACCTTTTCCACCACAATTAGGGGTGGGCAGGACTGTAGTTGGGAAGGCATTGGTGAAAGAGTAGCTATTTACTGTAATCTTTTTCTGTGGAAGCAGGTTAGATATATAGACAGGAACAATCACTTCTTTTCTTCCTAATGTGTTCTAATTACTACTGCCAAATAGAACTGGATATGAGTGGGTGGCTTCCTGCACTCATTTGTCACAGTTCTAGCTCGGCTTCTAGCTCCACAAGCCTGATCATGCTGGACACGGGCAAAAAGGTGTTTTTAAAGCCACAAATAGATTTTGTGTTTGTATCACTTTCCAAAGGACTCTGGATAATAGGCCATTACTTTTCCAAAACTCAAAGATTAAAGACTCAGTCTTTCCTGTGTAAATTTTTATGAGATCCTACCACATATACACACACAATTTTAACTGATTACTGTTATACAGGACCTTTCACTAGCAGGAATTATAAACAGCATCAAAAGTATCATCATTAAAGCAGTGGCCTGCCCATTTTTATGTAGCAGCAGCAATCTAGTTGGGTCCAAAGGGGAGAAACAGAATCTCGTGAGATTCCTCTTAGGATACTGGAAAATGAATCGAGTCCAGGTCACTGACATGGGTTCTATGGTCTCAATTCAATCTTCATCCAACCAACATGATCATCGCACAGCAATTTTACCTCTGGAAACCTGAGTGACCGATGCTTTTGTTGAAGAGACTCAGCACTGAGAAAATCAAATGAAAGCATTTTCCAGAGGGATTGGGGGGTTGCGAAATTAGAGACTTTTCCGTAAATATTTCAGGGTGGAGCTGGAAGGGGGAGAGTAGCCTTAATGCTGTTTTGTTATTGTTGTTTTTGTTGGCTCCTTCAAAGTTGCTAGGATCTGTGGCACAGGGAGCCAGTTTACATGGGGCACATGCTCTTTTGTTTGGAGGATTTAGGCTGCAGTGCCCTGGCATCCAGCTGACAGTGGTACCAATGTCCTGCCTTTCAGGGGTACAGCCTTCAAGAGTCCACCAGACCTCCTTTTAACCTAAAGAGAGGGATAAAAATGCTAGCTGAAGACAGGAATCATGGTTTATATTTGTGATGACAAAATATTCTTCCATCCTGATGGCATGTTGATTGTGACATTTTTGTGCCCCTCTATGTTATACTTGAAGCACAGGGATTCTGGAGGACTCTGGTCAGGATATCTGAGTTGCAATTCATATGTCCAATGGTGATTTCAACGGCTTTGTTCTCATAAAATGGGAGTAGATGAAATTTATTAACCAACTAATTCAGTGGGATATGGTTAAGATTAACTGATTTGAAATGCGTATTCAAGGACAAAATTCTGATTTTCAGTTAAGGACTTCATATCTGTCTTAATCTCTTCAGGCTGCAATAACAAAATACCACAGACTGGGTGGATTACAAACAACAGAAATTTATTTCCTACTGTTCTAGAGGCTGGAAGTCCGAGATCAGGGTGCCAGCATGGTCGGGTGAGGGCCCTCTTCCAGATTGCAGACTTCTCATTGTATCCTCACACGGCGGAAGGGGTTAGGGAGCTCTGTGAGGTCTCTTATAAGAACACCAATCCCATTCACGAGGGCTCCACATTCATGACCTAAGCACCTCCCAAAGGCCCACCTCCTAATACCATCACACTGGGCATTAGGATTTCAGCATATGAATTGTAGGGGGACACATACATTCAGATCAGAGCAATCTCTATTATCTTTAAATTTAAGGAAATAAAATACATCTATATGTGTGGCTAGCAGTTCCAATAAGATTCTGAGACATTGATCAGCGAGTAGCACAAAATGTGAATATTAGGATGACAAAGGTTAATAATGTAACTGGAAAAACCGTAATCAAACTTATCCCTAATATTCACTTTATTTCAATTAGCTTCACCTATGCTTTTTCCTTATTCAGCAATGCTAAGGCTATGTTGCATGTAAGAAACTTATTCTGTAACATTGAGGAGATCAGAACCAGGATGAATGGGTCGAAGTTTCTGCTCTGTGGAATGTTACAGAATAAGATTTTTCCCTCCTCCACATGACAATCTTTGAAATAGTTGAATAACATGTCTTCTCCAGTCTTCTCTCCTTTGGGTGAAACATGCCTAGTTAGTCAAAGTCCTTTTTTTTCCAGACTGCTTACCAGCCTGGTTGGCCTCAATTCAACAACACATAATTAAACAGTATTTTCTGAACCCATACCAGGTGAGAAACCCAGAGTCTGTGTCAGGGGAGTACATGGCCCTTGTCCTCAGGGAGCCTACAATTTGATGGGGCATGTACACATTTATTGGTGAATTCCCTCTGTGCTTCCTGTGGGTCCCTCTGTTACACCATCCAGCACACTGTGTGGTAATAATTTATTTCCTTGTTTGTCTCCATCACCAGACTGTGAGACTCTGGAGGACAGGGATTAGTACAGCTCGGAATCTCCAGGACTTAGAATAGCATCCAACCCAAAGTATGTTTGTTGAGTGTTATTTGTATTTAATTCTGATGTAAGATATGGTAGAATGATGCAAACTTGAGCAATAAGCAAGGCACTATAGGGACATTGAAGAGGAGAAAAGTGATTCTAAGCTCTGAAGGATCACAATTGCACCCTCCAGTTCCAATGGCCTTCTTAAAATGAACTTATTATCTAAGAAGCTTCCTCAAAGGAACAACCATGTTATTACTTCCTTTTTCTTAGATGTTATATATATTTTAAATGTAGCTGAAATATAGGTTCATTGGGGTCCATTATATTATGCTCTCTACTTTTGTGTATACTTGAAAATGCCCATGAATGAGTTTAAGAAACATCATCCCACTGAGGAACATTTGGAATATTTAAAAATGTATTAGGAAGAAATATAACCCATGATCTCAAAGCTAAGACTGTGATCTTGATACTTTTTGGAAAATACTCACTTGGAAAGATTGTTTAGCAAGCTATAAATTCACTTAACCTTGTGTACATGTATCCCTCATTTATCCATATGGAATTTGTTATTTATACTTAATAATTATGGAAAATTATATAGGTATAAGTATAAAATGTACTATAATATTACTTTTTTAGATATAATGACAATCAAAACAACTGAACAATAAAAACTTATTAAATATCTACTATAATACAAGGTATTATGTCAGTAAGTAGGGTTTTGTATATGCAGAAAAATACAATCTTTAAAATAAATGCACTGTAGAGATTTTGTATTTCTTGAAGGTTGTGATATATCTAGACTGTTTACCCCTGAAGAAAAATATAACACTTTATATGATCAACTGATGGAATAAATAGCTAGGAAAACATAAGCAGTAAAAAAGTAAGATGTAAGAAACTGACAGAAGAAGAAAAAAAGGAACTGACAGACATAACTGAGGGAACAATTTATCCACTTTAATGACCATTGTGGGAGCAGATAACAGACTGATTATAGTCTGGATGCATCTTACCAGTTAACTTTGGCTCAGGAGGCTGCATGCCTGGTGGTACTGTGGTAATCATTAAAGGATCTTGGCAGAAGTTGAAACAGAAAACCATGAAAAAATTGCAAATTTTGGCTAATTACACATATTTTATAGTGACCAGAATAGGTTGGCCTAACCAACTGTCAGTCTGCAATACCCTGAGCACCTAAAGTTGTGCTTTCCTCTCTCACTTGAAAAGTCTAGTGTGTAAGAGCTAGTTATGGAAAGAAAGAAAAGAAATACTATGTGGAAATCCTGCCACCTGCCCATCCTTCATGTATGTGTGTGTGTAACTGTTCACAATATCATAATAAGCTCTTCAATGCAAAGGAAATACATACCTGCATATGGAGAATCAGTCATACTGATTATTACATTAAGGCTATACAAGTTACAACTCTTCAGTTTGATAAGCAAGGCTCTCTATAACCTGTCTTCACCTCATTTTCAAGTTCTTTCTTTCGCTTCCACATAAGAACTTGTTCTAGACAGATAGGTTTTTTTCTACCCCTGCCCCCACATCTTGTTCATGTTTGCTTCCATTTCTTTAAGAGATTTACTCTAATTTTAATGGTCTCTCTGACTTTTCTTATCCTATTTGAATTATCCCATCCTCTGTCCTGGTTCAACTCCGTGGTTGGTTTTGTTCTTTGTTTCTTTGCATTTTTGACTCCCAATAAAATTGCCCAGTGCACATAATCACACCTTCCACACCGAGCTGATAAACCATCTAATACTTTTTGGACAGATCTAGGTCATGTGGCATAAACTACTTCAAATTCTTTCCTTTTCACTACAAATGAAGATACTCTTTACAGTGTCTTCATTGATCTCATTCTCTCTTCCAGCTCTCACAAAACGGTGTCAGATAAAAAAGACAACTGGCCCAACTACTGCAGCCTAATAATTGCTGTGTAGTTAACTGCCAAATGTTAATGCTGAAGTAGAGTGCCACAGTATAGTGGAAAGAACTGAGCTACTAATCAGAATATGTGGCTTTTAGCGCTGGTTCGTCCATTTCTAGTAGTGTGATGCTTGGTAAGGTACTTACTCTCTGGGTATTCTTCACAGTTTACCCCATCCTAAAAAAAAGCAATATATTCAGCTCTGCTGATATTTTATCCTTTTTTCTTCTTCTAACAACAAAGGTCTCAAAGATTGTCCTGTCTTGTTGACTTCACTTCATCATTACCTTCCCACTTCTCAACCTGGTAACTTGGCTCTTGTTTCCATCACTTACCCATCATAAAACCCCAAGTCTTCTCAACATTTCTTTTTTACATCTCTGGAAGACTGCTGATCCCTAGCATCTATGGCTCTCCTAATTCTTCTTCTTCTTTTAATATATTTGATCTCATTCAGGTATTCTACAAAAATTATTGAACATCTCCCCTGTGCCAGTCACTATGTTAAGTGCTAGAGATACAGCCATGGTCCCTCTCCTCATACTGCATCGGAGCCTAGCGGCAAAGACAGACATTAATCGACTAGCACAACACATAAATGTAAATCTGTAGCTGTGATAAGAGCTGTGAATGAAGATTGTGCTATAAGAACACTTCATAGGAGGAATTTGGTCCAGTTTGATTTGTCCTTTGAGGAACTGACAATTGACTAAGACCTGAAGATGAGTAGAATAAAGATGGAGAAGAAGGAGGTTGAGGAGAATGATGTCCCTAGCAGAAGACACAGTGAAAAGTTCCAGGGCAGGAGGGAATATAGCATGTGTGAAGTATTTAAAGAAGTTAGGGATGAAGGGTAGAGGGATTGAGAAAATCTGAAAGGGAAGATAGACACCAGGACTGGTAAATCATCTTAAGGGGTCTGTTCTTTATTCTAAGGCAATGGGAAGCCGTTTCGTGTGTGTGTGTGACACAGTGTGTTTAGAAAAGATCTCTTTGGCTAATATGGGGAGAATAGATGAATGGATTGGAGAGAAGATGCAATTAAGAGGTGACTGCACAAGTCCAGGCAACAGATGACTGCACAAGTCCAGGCAACAGATGATGCTTTCTGTAGTGGGGACAGAGAGAAGTAGACAGATGCAGAGACAGGTGGTGAAATTGACAAGTCTTGATAATGGTGGGATTAGGGAGAGGGCTGTGTCGTGGATAACACCTGGGTTTCTGGCTTGTGGAGCATGGACAGTTCCCCAACTGCTCCTCCAATTGATCCCCAAGTGTGGATGCTCCTCAAAGTCCTGTTCTCAACTCCCCCTTCCACGCTTTCTCCTTTGGTGATCCTTCAATTTCAAGGTTTAAACTCTTATTTCCACAAGATGTTACCCAAACCTACAATGCTATGTACTCCAGAGAGCACAAACGGGTTGCCCATTTGGCAGAGAGACATGTTTTGTTTATCCTTCAGTATTTTTTAATTAAAAAAATACAAATTACAAAACATTTAAAAGTCAGAAGCGGGCCGGCCCCATGGCTTAGCGGTTAAGTGCGTGCGCTCCGCTGCTGGCGGCCCGGGTTCGGATCCCGGGCGCGCACCGACGCATCGCTTCTCCGGCCATGCTGAGGCCGCGTCCCACATACAGCAACTAGAAGGATGTGCAGCTATAACATACAACTATCTACTGGGGCTTTGGGGGAAAAAATAAATAAATAAAACTATAAAAAAAAAAATAAAAGTCAGAAGCTTTCACATAAAAACCTATATTTATAATTCTTTAAAAAATTGGAAGCTCCGTCAACACTGAACTCATATTCCCTTATGTCAACAGTTGGTCAGAATTGGGTGACAGCTGACTCTGTTAGACTGAGCCCGCATTTTCCACTTTGTCCTGGCCTCTGGGCACCTGGCCACCACATTCACCGAGTTTTTGTTTGGCCATTATAGGCATTGTCCTTTAAACCTCACATTTAGTCCAATCACCTCAGAATGTAGAACACTCCAAGGAGAGAAGGCACCTTAATGAGCATCATACCACTAAAAACCGACTGAACCAATGCCCAGATCCCACGGTCTCTCCACTCCCTATACTGAATCACCCTATCGCTGAACTTCAGCGTCCTATCATGTGGCAGTTAGCACTATAGCAATTGCTAGGCCGATGTATTTAACCAGTTGTGTTGTAGACATTTTATGTTTACACATTTGAATTCCTTAGTATTAACGTGAAGGTTTCATATATTTTAAATTATATGAAGAGTCCAAATATTACTATATAAAAGCTTGCTCATATCACTATTCTTTCTTCTTTCTAATTTTCTTCCAGAACTCTTAGAACGATCTCTAGCCCTTTTAAACAAAAGTCAACAACTCACTGACTTCATAGAAAAATTCAAGTGTGACGGACCTAATGTAAATTCCGAGTTGATTCAAGGAGCTCGTAACAGCTGCCTGAAGATCGACAGCCTTCTCGAACTTCTACAAGACAGGAGACGGCAACTAGACAAGAACCTGAAGCAGCAGCGGCAGGAATTGAGTCAGGTTCTGCAGATATGTCAGTGGAACCAACAAGAAAATCAGGTAACCCCAAGGGGCACTGATGATGTCCTGACCTCAGCCAATGAAGTCTGGTTATCATGCGGACTAGCTGTTTCCTGGGACAGTTTCTCAGTTGTCATGGTCAAATTGTTTGGTCTTTGGTCCAAACTACCTTGTTGTTTTCCCAAGAAAGTAATATAAAAGCAAAGATTTTTCTTTCCTTTCATTATAATATTGATTTTGTAAATGGGAGAGTACCCATAAGCAGTTTTGAAAATGACTGTGTTCTATTGTTGGATTCTCTTTTTCGCTTCCTTCCAGGTCACTACTTTTAGAAACATTTCTTTGAAATTCTGAAATGTTAATTGCAATTTTCTTGGGAGTTGGAGAGGCATGATGGTGCTAAATTTTACTAGATTGCTGTTAAAGTTGGTGAAAAAGTCGGTTAGCCCAAAATAGAGATAATGTTCTTGGAAGAGTGGTCTGGTGCCAATGAAGAAATATGACCTTGGGCTGTGACTGGATGCTCAGTGGTTAGAGAACTTTGAGGTGGGAGGTTGATGAGTTTGCAGGCTTGTTAGAGCTCATTACCCAGACTGCAGGCATAGCTCTGCTGTCAATATGCGTGCCGTGCATTCCTTCCATCTCAGTCACTTGAGGGTGAGAGTGGATGGAACTGTCTTTGCAAACCCCCAACTCAAATAGGTGAGATATTTATTGGATTTTTCTAACTGCCCAATCCTATGCTTAAATCTATGCAGATTAAGTAGAGGGAATTTTCAGGGAGAAATGATGTGGAAGGAGATCTCCCGGTCTGAATGTGTAGGAAAGGAGTCTCTTCACATGTTTTATATTATTGCTCTGATCCAAATTGGAGAGACATACATACAATTGGGAGCAAATATGAGCCCAGGAGAAATTGGTTCTTATTTCAAGCTGGAAAAATGAGGACTTAAATGGTGATCAACCTTACAAGAAATATTAATGAGTAGCTTCTATGTACCAGGTCCTATTATAAGTACTGGGGATACACAACACACACGACAGAGTCCTTTTCATCTAGGAATTTTCCTTCTAATGCAGTTTCTCAACCTCAGCACTATTGACGTTTGGTGCTAGGTAATTCCTTTTGGAGGCTGTCCGATGCACTCTAGGATGTTGAGTGACCTCTACTCATTAGATGCCAGTAGAACATACTCCAATTATAACAACCAAAAATGTCTCCAGACTTGCCAAATGTCCCCTGGGGAGCAAAATTACCCCCAGATTAGAATCTGTGTTGCAGCATGATGAGAAAAACATATAGTAAACGAATGAACGGTGAAAAGTGCTATAAAGAAAATCAAATAGGGCAATGCATTTTGACTTGTGTTGACCTACTTTTAATCATAGAAGGAATCAAAGAAGGCCGCTTTGAGGAGGTGGCTAGAGCAGAGACCCAATGCAGACCCCTCCAACATATATTCTGCTTGCATGTTTTTGCCTCCCCCTCCAAGTCACTATACACTTTCCAGGCCACCTGCGCTTTCAGCCCTTTGCCTTGACTGCTGCCAGCTGCTGTCCTGCTTCTGCTGTGCTTTGCCTGCCAACCCCTCCCCCTTCCCCAGCTTAGCTCTTCCCTCAGCCCCCCTTCATAAGCTCATTACCCAGAATGCTATTGTCCAATGCCATCATCTTTTACTGATGATTCTGGCATAACAAAAGAGAATTAATGCTCAGGACAAGAATCAACTTAAAATTGTTTATCAAACAACTTTTTCCAAAGTGACTTGTCCTCCCTATCGTAAGTGGGTCCATTATGGCACTGTCTCTCTCTCTGTCCCTCTGTCTCTTTCTCTCTCCCCTAATCCTGACCTGACACCATGTTCCCAGAGCTGCTGTCCCCTGAAAAAAACCTTCCTCTTATCTCTTTCACTGAGTTCATAACCCCAAACCCCTACCTCTAGTGCTTCCAAGAACATGCTAAAAACTCCTCTTACTATGTGGTGTGGTTGTTAAGTTTGGTGCGCTCTGCTTTGGTGGCCCGGGTTTGCAGGTTCGGATCCTGGGTGCGGACGTACACCACTCATCAGCCATGCTGTGGCTTCCCAAACACAGAACAATTTCCCCCAAAATGAAAAAAGCAACTATAGTAAGTTTTATTTATTTATTTTTAAGATAGTAATTTTGCCTTCCTGCTCCATGACTATGACAATAATCATCCAATTGAATCTTCGGCAGTTAAAAACAAAAAAAAAAAATCACATTAACATTCTAACCTAGTCACATACTTAAGGGAAATCTAGATACCTTGCCAACCCTGGAAAGCAGAAAGATGTCTTGATCATAGCTAAAATAAGGTATTGCAGAAGTTTTATGACTTGATGTGTTCTCTAAATCATGGAGTCTCATCTTTTTTGGGGGAAGTGTGTGCTTTTTCTTTGAGGGGGGGTGATTTTTTAAGTACACTTTATTTTTTATAGCAGTTTTAGATTCACAGCAAAGTAGAGCAGAAAGTACAGAGAACCCTCTGTTCCCACGCATGCACAGCCTCCCCCTCTGTCAACATCCCTCACCAGCGTGGTACATTTATTGTAATTGATGAACCTACGTTGACACACCATTATCACCCCAAAGCCATAGTTTACATTAGGTTTCACTCTTGGTGTAGTACATTCTACGGGTTTGAACAAATGTGTAATGACATGTATCCACCACTGTAATATACAGAATCATTTCACTGCCCTAAGAATCCTCTGTGCTCCACATATTCATCCTTCCTGCCCACTAGTTCTTGGCAACCACTGATCTTTTTAGTGTCTCCCTAGTATTGCCTTTTCTGGAATGTCACATAGTTGAAATCATACAGTATGCAGCCTTTTCAGATTGGCTTCTTTTGCTTAGTAATATACATTTAGGATTCCTCCATGTTTTTTCGTGGTTTGATAACATTTCTTTTTAGCGCTGAATAATATTCCATTGTCTGAATGTACCCCAGTTTATCCATTCACCTACTAAGGGGCGTCTTGGTTGCTTTTAAGTTTTGGCAATTATGGATAAAGCTGCTATAAGCATCCGTGTGCAGGTTTTTCTGTGGATATGAGTTTTTAATTCATCTGGGTAAATACCAAAGAACAAAATTGTTGGATCATATATGGTAAGAGTATGTTTATAAGAAATTGCCAAATAGTCTTCCAAAGTGGCTGCACCATTTTGCATTCCCACCAGCAATGAAAGAGTTCCTGTGGCTCCACATCCTTACCAGCATTTGTCATTATCAGTGTCTTGGACTTTAGCCATTCTGATAGGTGTGTAGTGGTATCTCATTGTTGTTTTAATGAGTCTCATCTTTAAACTGGGACTAATAACACTTAATTCACAGAGTTGAGGATTAAATGAAATAACGTGTAAAACATGTAGCACAATACCTATCATTTGAAGAGGTGCTTAATAAATATTAATTTCTTTGTCCTCCCTCTCCATGGTTAAACCTTACTACTTATGAATTCTTTCTCGTCCGGCCCATATTCTTTCCCCTGGGTTTAGCATTACTGTTGTTATACATGTCGAGATCTCTTAATACTGTTGTCAGAGTCTGCTACAGATACAGTAAGGATTTGAGAATGCACGTTCCTGGTTAAGAGAACTAGGCTTTCATTTAGACTCCACTCCTAACAGTCTTGAGCCAAAATCAATTTAATAATAATAATAAGGATAAATATTATTATTATTTTTCTTTTTTTTTGTGAAGATTAGCCCTGAGCTAACATCTGTTGCCAATCCTCCTCTTTTTGCTGAGGAAGATAGGCCCTGGGCTAGCATCCGTGCCCATCTTCCTCTACTTTATACATGAGAGGCTGCCACAGCATGGCTTGATGAGCGGTGTGTAGGTCTGTACCCAGGATCTGAACCTGTGAACCCTGGGCCACCGAAGCGGAGTGTACAAACTTAACCACTATGCCACTGGGCCGGCCCCAAAAATATTATTTTTAGTCAAATCAGTCAGTAAATAAGATAGTCATTTCCTTAAATATAAAACTTAGGCTCTTAATCTTAAAACACCGCATGTTGCATTTTTCCTGCTAACACCAGTGACAGCAGCTGGAGTAACCAATAAAGGTAACTGGTGTTTCTGTGTGCTTGTAAGAGCACAGGTCCTGGAGCCAGACTGTTGGCTACGTTCAAATCCTGGCTGCACTGCTTACCAGCTGAGTAACTGAGCAATTATTTAACCTCCCTGAGGCTCAGTTTCCTATAAAATGTAGATATAATAATACCTACCTCAACATGTTGTTAGGATCATCAAATGAGTTATTATATGTCAAGTGTTAGAACAGTACCTGGCACATAGTAACTGCTACACTAGTATTAACACTTTTTATCATCATGTCTGACAAGGACAGTGAAGGCCCAACACATTATACACTCCCTACTCCCCTCCTCTACCACCATGCTCAGGTAAAGACTGGTCTTGCATTAAAGGCTAATTTCATTATTTCTTTTGAGTTCACAAGGTGTAATCAAATAAAAGTCACTTTTTTAATCTTAGCTACACTTGTTCAATGGGCGCTCAATAATTTAAAACAAAAAGGTAGTTGCATTTTTTTCTGCTTGTGACTTAATAAGGCTCATTTGTTGAAAATGTAGATGAGATCACTATCCACACAGTTAATTCCTATTAACATTTGACATGCTGCCACCTTCTAGACCTTTATCCAAGCATGAGCATAGTCACAGGTGCACACACATTTATTAAAGAAACAATTAAACAAGCAAATGAAAACTAATGGAATTAATCTATGCATACTATCTTACTACCTGATATTTATTAAATTGAACAAATCATGGACATAATCTTGGGTCAAAAGTACAATAGATGATTTTGATGTAGTATTTCACTATTTGAATGTAGCACAATTTAAAAAATATCTCATTGATGAGAAAGTAGAGTCTCTTCAGTTTCTCAATATTATAAACAATAATTAATGCTTACTGTGTTGATAATTATGTGAAAAAGGAAATATTTAAAAATCCGGGTAGGTTCAAGCATAATTATCTTACCT